GGGGAAGAAGATAGCTCGACAAGTCTGCATGAAAAGCACTAATAGTTGCTCTACCTCATTAGTTTTCCTATGCTCTTACTGCAAGTCTTAACTTAAAATTCTAGAATTTGTGATTCATCGTTAAGCATATACCTGTTGCTTCTGCGGCAGCAGAAAGCGCAAGCTCTTCGAGCCTTGCTCCATCAGCATACTGAGAACTGGTTGAAGGTATATTAGTAGACCTTTTCTTTTTGTTTATACACTTTGAATTAAAAAGAGAACCTGAGGAGACGTCAAGATGTTTTTCAATAATGGACCAAACAGCATAGGTCATAGAACTACGCATGAGCAAGCAATTCTCCCTCCTTGAGTCAACTAAGAATACAACAACTTTGGAAGTAGGCCATGTCCCTGATAGTGGATCAGCTTGTGCAGCATCTAGCGCCGAAGATATATCACATGCCCTCATAATGGCCCTCTCAGTGAGTGAGATTTGGCTTTCCAAATCGTCCACGTCTGTGTAATCTGGTCGACGCATTAATTCCATATATGTGATCAAACTTGGTTTCAAAACTACAGCCAATTGGCAAAACGATGTAAAATTAAGAAACTCTATTTTATGATCTTGATGTTGCTTCCTATAGTAGTAATTGTAGAGCAACACAACAGCTTCCACCTGTCAACATCAGCAACCACAGCAACCAGTAGAAGAATGAATTAAGTACCACAAAACAAACATACCATAGCACCTGCATTAAGGTTTTCAACTGATCAAAATAGCATATCCTTCATTATTCAACTTCCATATCAAGCTTGAGTATGCTATCGTACTGATTAATCTAAATTCAAGCATGATGCAGCTCACCTCTACTAATATCATTTATATAGACTTCCTCCATTCCTATTTCATAAGATCTTTTCCCCAAAGTCAATTTCACGAAATAAAGAAGTTGAGCATACGGAGGAAAAGAAAAAAAAAGACTATGAATTAGTTTATGGTGTAACTTTTACATTTAAAATTACCTGTATTAAACTAAAACTTGCAAACTTTTGCACTTATTGCTATAATTAAATTAAAAGTATTAAAAACATATGGCCAGGTCAATACTTCTGTGATTTTGCTTTATCGAGCCCAACCTCTCTACCTTCACAAGTAGGGGTAAGTACCACATATATACTACCCTACCTAGACCCTACTTGTGGGAAATACGCTGGGTAGTATTGTTGTAAAAAGATATGGCCAGAGTTAATTTTGTTTGACTCCAGGTAAGCCTAAAATGACAACTTCATGGAACAAATTGATTACAAATTATTGTATAAAAACCAAAAGAGAGAACATATCAAATGAATGAACAGAGAGTGGCAGGCTATAATGTACTACCTGTTTTGCCATGGAACGTTGTTGATCAAGTGTTGGAACTTCCTTTGATTTGAAAGAATTGCGCCCTAATAATGGTTCCACCATGCATTCCAGCAATGCCTGAACCACTTCCTCCGTTGGACCCACCTCCTCCATTTTTTCATTCATTTGATTCTAGAATTATAGATGAATTTTTGGGCATGCAAATCAAAAATTATAGATGAATTTTGGGCATGCAGAGGGGTTTAACAGTGGTCGAAGAAACGTGGGTTTTGGCGTTTAGCGGATTTGGGGTTCTTTCACTGATACAGTGATATAATAATAGCGTGGGAAGCCAAAAGTTCTTAATAGCATATTTGACCAGACTTTACAAATTTATTCATTTTGAAAAGTGTTCTTATTCACAAGTATTCTATCCACTTGAAAAGTAACTTTTATTTGTCCATAATAATTTTCACTTTTACTTGTATTATTTTTAGTATATTCAGAGAAAGACAATTTTTTTTTTCTGTTAGACCCATAGTACTAATTAGTCATTTCAAATCATTTTCTCAAATCCATTAAAATATGCATCAATTAATATGTATATTATGATAAATAGTAGACAAATAAAAGTAAACGGAGGGAATATTTAATTAATCAATTTTAAAAAATACTTTAATTATAATTAATAATTTGTGCTTGGTTAAAATATAAAAAAGTAACTATCAAATGATGTGTTCCAGTGGATGAGACTGATCTTTCCTTAACCAGAGGTCACGAGTTCGAGCCTTGGGTATGGAAAAATCCTTGGTAGGGAGTCCTTCCCCTCAAATGGGGCCCTAAGCGGCACGAATACGGATATAATCGAGCTCCAATATGAGTATCAGATACTGGGTGAGAAACCAAGTATATTGGGGAAGAAGCTATTCTTTTAGCTTCTTAGTTCTTAGAAACAGTTTATGAGCCTGTTTGGCCACGCTTGTGGGAGGTCGAAAGTATTTTTTTTGTTAAAAAAGTACTTTTCAGAAAATGTGAGATGTTTGCCAAGACGAAGAAAGTACTTTTGAGTAGCAGCAGAAGCAGTTTTATCTGCTTTTGGGGAGAAACTATAAATTCTAACTTCTTCCAAGAAACAAAAGCAGAAACAGAAAATTAATTTGTTCAAGACAAAAATAACCTTATAATAAATTGATATTTCTAAATTATTACTCATTAATTTAATATATATTTTTTCCTTTTTCTTTTTATTTCTATCATGCATATTTTTATTCTCTTTCTCCTATTTCTGAGAGTAGATTTTTAATTTATATTAAATAATGTAATTTGATATATTTAAATTATCATGTAAGCAATAAGTAATACTAGAAACTCAATGCTATTACTTTGGAATAACTATATTTTATATTGATTAGAGTTTTTAATTTATACATTTACTTTGTTTTTTATATTTTAATTAATTCTTTTATAAGAAATATTTAATTTTTTAAAAAAAAAATAATACTAATTGCAAAATGAACATTTATTGTTCTTTTTCATAATTTGATACTTAAAAATACTTTTTGAAAAAATTGGTCAAACATAATGAGCTTGCAAAAAGCATTATTCAAATAAATTGGTCAAACACAAAATGCTAATTTGTTGAATAAAAATAATTTTTAAAAGAAGCAGTTTTTGGTAGCTTGACCAAAGTGACTGTATGTTACTATACAAAACAACTTTTTTCTTTTTTAAAAGTCTGGTTAAACTTGTGCTCACATATTAATTTAAACGTTAAACAATTCATTTTATGCTCTGTCTAACTATATTATTATTTGTAAAAGTTCAAACTTGCAAGCTCTTTCACACAATTCAATATATTTGACTCCCATATATTTGCTTTGGAAAGTGTTCAATCTAGAACGGTGTGGAGTGGAAATAAACTTTTTTGAGTAAATGGTGTTGATATGCTATGATTTTTATTTTATTTTTTAGCTACAGCGTGTATTTATAGCGTACTAATGAATATAAAGTATATGTCCTGTATATACTCTTCAAAACTTAACCATGGCTAAGTGTTATGCATTTTTACTTTAATTTGTTGATTCGTAAGGTTAATTTTATTTTGTTAAGTATAAACACTGCATACATGTAAGTGTCTACCCTATGATATCTACTTCATGTCTAATGGCAGTTAAAAACTCGAAAAATCGAACCAAACCAAATCGATCAAAAAATTCGATACTTTTTTGATTTGCTTTGGTTTGGTTTTGATTTTGAATTTAAAAACCGATCAAATTTGGTTTGGTTTTGATTTTAATAAAAATAAAAACATCGAACCAAACCGACTATAGAAATACATATTTAAAATTTATTATTACAACAATGTACATTCTAAAATTTTATGGTACATGTTAATTGTTTGCACTTTTAGGGGTAGTTTGGTAGGAGGTATTAGAAAAAACGGCAAAGGGCTAAATATACCCCTCTACTTTCAAATATTGTTTACATGTACCCTTCGTTATACTATTGGGCTATCCATATCCCTACCGTCATACTTTGGAACAAAAATACCCCTATTTTGGATGGAGTGCCACGTGGCAGCACCAGATTAAAATGACCTTTTATTTTTACCCAACCCATTTTACAAAAAACCCACAACCCGAACCATATTTTCATTTTTCAGTTTTTTTAAAGAATTTTCTTTTTATAAAACTTAAAAAGAAATTGCAAAATATTTTCGTTTTTTAAACTGATTAGATACTGAAAAGCTTTTGCAAAACAAATTGTAAAAACTGAAAAAATCGTTTTTTTAACAAAATATTCTTTTTGTAAAAACTGAAAAAATTATAAAAACTGGAATTTTTTTTCTTCAGTTTTTAACAAAATATTTTTGTTTTTAAAAAACTGAAAAAAATATTTCCAACAAAATATTTTCGTTTTTGAAAAATGTTTTAATTTTTTTTTCCAGCTTTTTTAAGATTTTCTTTTTGTAAAAACTACAAAAACAAATTTGTATAAACTGAATTTTTTTGTAAAAATAGGAAAAAAAATCGTTTTTAACAAAATATTTTTATTTTTTAAAAACTGAAAAAATTATTTTCAACAAAATATTTTCGTTTTTGAAAAATATTTGTTTTATTTTTTTCAGTTTTTTAAAAGAATTTTATTTTGTAAAAACTAGAAAAACAAATTTGTAAAAATAGAAAAAAATATTTTTTGTTTTTTAACAAAGTATTTTGGTTTTTTAAAAACTGAAATTTTTAAAAAAATGAAAAAAATGAAAAGGGGTCGGATTGTGGGTTTTTTTAAAAACGGGTCGGGTAAAAAAAGGGTCGTTTCAAACTGGTGTTGCCACGTGTCACTCTATCCAAAATAGGGGTATTTTTGTTTCAAAGTATGACAGTAGGGGTATAGATAACCAATAGTATGATGGTAGGGGTATGGATAACCCAATAGTATAACGAGGGGTACATGTAAACAATATTTGAAAGTAAAGGGGTATATTTAGCCCTTTGCCGTAGAAAAAATAATGAAAGCATTAGCTCTATGCATTACTAATACCTTGTTTGGTATATATTTTTTAACCTGTGTATAACTAATACTTTTAGTTATACATCATACTTGGTATTATCATATGTATAAGTAATGCATAGAAAACGATGACATTAGTAATACCAAGGACATTAATGCTTGCATTAGTATTGTTAAAGACAAGATTGTCCTTAAAAGTCCTTTAAAGTTAGATAATATGGAGAGCATTTTTGTAAACAACTATTTTTCTTTAAAATTATGCAATGCATTTATAATTTTAATACATCACACCAAACAATAGATAAGAAACAATATATGCATAACTAATGCTTGCATTACTAACCTATGCATTACTAATCTATGTATTACTAATACACCTTATTTCATATTATTCTTATACACCCGAACAAACGACCCCTTAGTCTAGCTTTTTGCTATTATAATAATCTAGTTCTTTTCCTTTACATTCAACTTTGATTGGTAGTTTTCTTTTGCTAAGTACAATAATCTATTTTATGATAAAAATAATATATTTTTGATTGGGTCCTTAAATTATTCATCACAATTTGATTCAATTATCATCAATATATCTTGAGAAATACTAGATTTCTCAAAGACCAAATAGTTTGACAGTGTTACGTTGAAAATATAGCCGACGTAATATGTGTTTGGCAGTGCATGTCTCATATTTAAGAAAAACCGATAAGTAAACGAAGAAAAACCGAAATCTGACAAAAACCGACATAAAACGAATTAATAAAACCGACCTAATTGATTTGTTTTTTTTATATATAATATTTTTACCTAGTTAAAGTAATTGAATTTGGACTAATAATTAACGCTGTCAAAATATAAAATTACAATAAAATAAGGTGAAAAGAGGAGGCTCCCATAACTGATCGAATTTGTCCTCTGGCGGGAGCTTCATAATAGTAGGAAATTACTCATTTATTTCTTTGGGAATATCAGATTAACAAAATCTGCTTGCACATTGTTGACGTTCTGCTTTTATTCCCCTCAGCGGGGTTCCGCCATGGTCGAAAGAGTTTCTGGATTCTTCTTCGAGAACACGTAAACCAATTCCTCCGATACATATATAGAAAGAGAAAACGCTCGTAGGTTATAGAAGATTGAGCGTCGGAGAGAAAGAGAGGGAGATGGGGAACCACAAAGTGAAGTGGACGTCGGAGGAAGAAGGAGCCCTAAAAGCCGGTGTGGCAAAGCACGGAACCGGAAGGTGGAAGAACATCCTCAGGGATCCTGAATTCGCGCGCTTTTTGACTAATCGCTCCAACATCGATCTCAAGGTTTCTCGTTTTTTTTTTCTTTTTGATGTATATTCATTTGTTTGTGTGTGTTGTATTCTTTTACTCTTGTTTTGGGTTGATCTTACGCAGAATTTATACTTGAAAGTTGAAATTCAGGACTAGGGTTAATGTGTTTCCCTTGATGTTAATGTGTGTTGTTTTATCGTAGTGATTTTTGTCCCGTGTTGTTTTGGAATATCGAGCATCAGTATAATATTGTTCATATGTCATGAGGCTGCTTCTAACTGTTGTGGTTTCTGGTCTATTGCATCATAAATGTTGGGCATTGCAACTCCTTTATTTGTTTCAACGAGTTAAATATTGCTATATTCATTTTGTAGCAATGAAAAGATATGGTTGCAACATGTGCGAGGACTTGAAGTAGAGTCATCAGCCAACTTCCTCTTTGATGGTGCTAATTGCTATACTGCTATACACCACTCTTTGTAGTATATTAAGAGAATGTAGATTATGATGGCTCTTCTAGGGGTTATTCAGGTGGAAAATGCTAGTGTAAAACTAGATTATGGTTTGTTTTCTTTATCTGCTTTACCACCCTGATTATGTGCTCATCTAACCATTCTGATAGGTGACAGAGTTGCATGTTGTTGTTCATGCTGCTTTACTCTTCAGTATAGCTAATTATATCCCTTTGCTTTACGTCTCCTGGTTTATCCCATTGATGTTTGTTTGATAATACATCCGTAATATTTTTCGTTGAAAACATCACCATCATATGTTGTCTTTGTCACACTTAATTAAAAAATTGTCTTTCTCACCTTTCCACTCTTCAAAATCTTAAAAAATACTACATACTCATAGTAAACTTGCTGAAGTTGGTAAACAATTATGTGGAATGCTGAGTGGCAATCTCAATTTGAGGTAAAAAGTAAACACTTTCAGGTAATTTCCATATAGGGCTGGACCACTATCACGAGTTAACTTCTGGATAAATGACCTCTCACATTCCCAAAGATTAAGTTCTTCCTTTCTACATAACATTCATTCTGGATATGTATGTATGTATATACTTTTTGTTCTCAATTTTCATAAAATTCCTTGTGCTTTGGTTTTTCCCTGGCTGTTCCTTCGATGTGTATTTTCCCCTTCACATTATAGGTCTTTTAGGTCCTTCTCAAATCATCTGGCAATTGGGACCTGAGGTGGAACAGTCTCCCTTTCCCCATCTGCTTTATATCTCTATTGCGGCCATGGGAACATAGCGTCTTTGTTGACTTAACCACTAAGGATACCAAATACAGCCGGATGAAGTATCATTTCCTGTGTTGTCCCTGAAATGAGATGGCTTAAGATTGCAATGAAAGACTAGGTTTGCTGCGAAAATGTCATTTCACCTTCCTTTCCCTTTGGTGTTTAATATATTCGGCTTTCATTGTTAGTGACCTTGATTTGCCTTTTCATAGGAGAAGAACAGAGTATGGAGTATATCTGTGGAGTGGGATCTATGTTATATTCTTCCTTTATTGCAAAAAAGACTTTCATTTGTTTCTTTTGTTTGTTTCAAAATCATGTTAATTTCCCTCATGATGAAATATTTTTCAATCTTAAAAGTCATATGGCCGGACTTTAACCTAATTAACTCAACCTGAAGAAGTTACCTTTAATTCTAGTTTGGCCCACCCTTCCTTAAACCAACATATAATTATAATACCCATATGGAGTCAAGGTAACAACTTGTGGATAGACGAAATTTATCAAAGACGGAACTTTATTTATGCTGGTTCTTATGCCCAAACTTAACCTCTTTAACATACTTATCAAAATTTTGTTTGGACAATGTCCATTTAGGTAAAAAAACTATATTAGAAGTGTTTAATGCTACAAAAGAGAGTGTTGTTTTCTTCCAATCACTAAGACAAGTGCAACATCTTAATCTAACTGGACTTTCCAGTTGTGAAGGAACTTGATCAGAAAAAGGTGGGACTCTAGTTATAAGATATGCAGTGAAACCTTTGCTCCTGGAGCTAAGATCTCAGTCTCTTTGTGGAATTTCTGCTTCTGCAATTTCTGTTGTATTGCAAATGTGGCAGTCTCTCATCCAGAAGAGGATTTTAGCTAGTTTTCAGACTCAACATGATAGTCGTTACACTTTCTTTGGTCTCTATGAATAGGATAAATGGCGAAATATGGGTTTTAGCACTGCTGCGCAAGGCTCTAAAGATAAATCCAGATTTTCTCGTGCAAGACCAAAGACAATAAGTGCACTTGCACTTTCTACTGTTCAAACTCCTTTGGCTATTACTTCAGCACCCGAGAATGACGCCATCGATGGTTCTCTCGAAAGCCCACAAGGAAGCAAGAATGCTCCGAAGTAGGTGACTCCTTTTAGCTTCTTGTCTTACTTGTACGCTTAGCAGCTATATTGAACTTTTCAAGACTTAGTATTTGTGTATGCATTTATACTTCTTAAAAAGTTCTGTCAGGAAATAACTTTTGTTAAAACTTGCTTGTTAGTATCATTTCCTTCTTCTCGCTAGCTGAAGGGGGAGCAAGAAATTAGTTATAATTTCGTGCGAAAGAAATTTCTCCTGCACTCCCCACTAGCCTCACCTCTTCCTGCCCCACCTCCTGCAGAAGAAGGAGAGAAGGAGAGGGAGTAATCTAAGGAAATAGGAAAACTACAAAAGTGTCTGAAAGGAAAGAGGAAAACTACGTAAGTGTATTTGTGATGGCAGATACAAAAGAATGTAGCCGAATATAGGCCAAAAAAACAGAAATAGCATTTCTTGCATGACAGTACCGGTTGGTCTTTCACTATCTAGAAGTTAAAGCTGTTTCAATAGGATCTTTTGCATAGCAGTTGGCTTTCTGCATTCAACAACAACAACATCAACAACAAAAAACCCAGTGTGATACCACAAGTGAGGTCGGGGAGGTGGTGTGTACGCAGCCTTACCCCTACCTTGTGAAGGTAGAGAGACGGCTTCCAATAGACCCTCGAAAGTTTGCTTTCTGCATTCGTTTCTTATATTTGAAAATCGTGGATGCCTGGATCTTTTCTTTTGGGTTATATCTTTGGTTTGTTGAAGTTTATCATTATCCTTCCTGAGCTGAGGGTCTACCGGAAACAACCTTTCTTCCTTTTTAAAGGCAGGGGTAAGGTGTGCCTACACTCTATCCTCCCCAGACCCTACTTATGGGACTACACTGGGCTTGTTGCGGTGTTGATGAAGTTTATCGTTTGATTATGACACACTTGTCCATTTTGATGTGGTCATAACATAGCTTATAATTTTTCTTTTTTCTTCCTTTAAATTCTATACAACATAAGGTCAAAACCACAATGGTGGAAATACGGAAAAGCAAATATTTATTACTAAAGTAAATATGAGATTATTGCATGTGCCATATTGAGGTCGAGAAAGTATATGTTGCTCGTGTTGGGCTTGGGAAGAATGGCTATAGTCAATTTTTAAGGATTGTGGGTACTGGACACCTTGAGTTTTCTCAATGAGATCCTGCAGGGTCTACATTTGCAATGCTTAGGATATGTATCTTTCTCAGCCTGCTTTTACCTCCACTACTGACCCATCCTTAGACCTGTTGTAGAAATTCATACTTTATTATGCAAGTTTGGTGGCTTTCATCATCATATGTTCATGTCTCTGTCATTCTTCCAGGTATAATGATATGATTTTTGAAGCATTATCATCCTTGAAGTGTTCAAATGGATGTGATCTTGGTGTCATTGTGGGATTTATTGAGGTGAGCTCAATCAGCTTATAGTTGTTGCATTAAACTTCTATGGGAAAGTCATGCTTATTTGGCTTCATGATCTTCATGTTTGGTTTTGCTTCTTCTGCTTTTCCAGTTGACATCTTAATGAATTTTACTTGAATTTCAGATTTAAACAAGTCACTTGAACTATACATGGCGTGTTGGGCTGCTTGAATTGCTTTAGCTTCATAAGCATCAACTTTTATCTCTTTGTTAGCTTCTTGGTGCAATCTAGTCTCTGTACTGATGTAGATGCCATGTTAGATACAATTGGGACTTGCACAATATGTAACTATGTTTTGAACTTTTGATGCACTAGTTTGATGTGGAGGCAATTTCCTTCAGCAAACAATATGTATGTTTAATGTACCGATGAATCCTAGGTTCTAGATTTGCCCTAGTTTTTTCCACGATAACAAGGCAATGCAAGGTAAGATGTTTATCTAATACTACTTGTTAATAGACATATTTTTATTTGACACTCATGGTTATCTTCCAAAGGTTTATGACAATTCATGTGAAGCTTCGACCATTTTCAGTTTCCTGTGGGATTTGTGCTTGGCCAGCCCTTCAGGTTCTCATCCTCTATTTAGAAAACATTGAAATATGCAATTCAAGATAACCTTTTTCCTTTTTTCAGCCTCCTTTCCCTTTGCTGAGAACGTTGTAAATTCTAAACTTCATTATAGATCTCATAGGGCAAATATAAGAGCAGAGAAAATGACTTCATTCACTCCTGGAGTGTGGTTTATTTTCCAAAAATTGAAAATTAGCAGTTGAATTTAAGGATATTTTAAAATGTATTGAAGTGTGTTTTGCAGTAACATGATTTTGGGCATACAAATACTTTAACCTGTCTTTAATCTGTGAGCTTATGCTACCATACTAGCGGTTGAGGTATGGAGTAACAACCTGGGGTTCCCAGGTTTGAATTACAGCTACGGAATTTGGTGTGGCTGCGAGGCCACTTCCATGCTTGGCTAGTAAGAGTACCATGGCAACTTTGCTTGTGGGGCTGGACAGACGGCTGGAGACCACTGATAACTAAAGAAAAAGAGGCTTCGGTGTAATACAGACACACATTTGTTGTATAAATTTAACGCTGAATCCAAATAGAGTAAGTGATGCCCTTTTTGCTTAGATTTTTGATCTGTTGATAGATCCAACTGCTGCATGTGATCCTTTGTGTTTGGCTTTTAAAAAAATGAACTAAAAAAAGTGTTGTATGATCTTCTGGTAACGTTTTTGTTATATAATTCCTTTTTGACTACTCATTGCATTTATACTTGACAAAGGAAGTTGACTCTATCCCTCGCTATTCTTTGATCTTCAACTTTTTAGTGATACTTCCGTTTGACTAATTGAATTTATACTTATTAAAGGATGCTGACTCTATTCTGCTCTTTATTGCAGCAACGACATGAAGTACCACAAAATTTTAGAAGGTTATTAAGTTCCAAGCTGCGAAGACTTGTTTTAAAAGGAAAACTCGAAAGGGTAAATAATTTTGCATCCCTTAGTAAGCTTCTTGGTGTATTTTCTTGACTGCAACACTAATCTACTTCATTATTTACTACGTATCTCATGTTGATGAATGATTCTACTTGTTTTACCATTCAATTTGAGGATTTTGGACAGCTGTGGTTCAATTGATGCATCCTATGCTGTAACGAATTAAGATATTAGGCCAAGTTTCTATTACTATAGTTTGACGCCGCCTTAGTCCTATTATTCCAGTTTGACACCACTTCCCCTTTATATAGTGTAAGTTAAGCATTGTAAAGAGTAGTTGATGAATGAACCTAATTTTCTTGTCTTTTGTTCTTCCTTTTTCCCCACTTTTTTCTTCTTTCTCAGCTCTTCTCGGTTTACTCTTCAAATGCACTGTTGCTTTGAGCTCACTCCAGCTCATTTGCACATATGCTCCGAGAGTCTGACTGCTTCTTGAAATTGCTTTATTATTGTCTTATCTGGGAGAAACTTCACCAATTCATCAGTTTATATTTTATTCACCTAAGTGTCATTGCACTTAGCTTTAACTCAGCAGTCATTGGTTAATTAAGCCTGATATTGCAGCCTTCAGAAAAAAATGAAGGTCCATGTTCTTTCAAAGTTCCAACTTGCAAAGTAATTGCAGATCAGCCTTCGATCGGAATTGTGTTCTTTGAATTACACGGAGCGATGGCATCTTATGTTCAGTTCTTTGCGACAGAAAACATCAAGGGAAACATAACTATTTTCACACAACCTTGTCTTGGCTCGTTATCTGCAACTGTGCCATTAAGCATCACTTTCAGATTCAAGCCACAAGAATTTTTGGCAAACCTGCAACCCCACCCCCCTCTACCCCAAAAGGGGGAGGAGGGGGGTGGATGTAGTATTCACACACGGGAAATTCAGGAAAACCTTGCTTTCCCACATTCTTGAAGTGAAGTTTTAGCATTTTTCTCTCTATTTGATGAAATGCAGGTCCAGAATTGCTATAAAATTAAGGATGCAACATTAGAAACCGAAATAACTACTCCAAAACAAAAAGATGTCTTGCCAAGGCCAGTCCCAAATTCAGCTGTAAAAGTGTCCTGTGAAACAATGGAAGAAGCTGTTAGGATTGCTGCTTACAAGATTGCTGATGCAGAAGAGAAGTCTTTTTTGGCGGCTGAAGCAGTTGATAATGCAGAAAGGTTGTCAAAAATGGCTGAGGATGCTGAGTCAATGTTACAACTCTTCAAAGAGATCTATGAACAATGTAAGTGTCTGGTTGTTACCTTGTGCGCTAAATATGTATGGATGACTAAGGTTTTTGACAGTTCAATATCTAAATGCAGCCGTCAGCAAACCTTTGGGTTGGAGTTACTAATTGAAGATTTGCTTCATTTCTTCTTGTTTCCAGGTTCACGAGGTCAAATTGTTCTCTTGGCTTGATCAGTCAGAGCAACGGATTGTATATACAGCTCATTGAGATGAGACGATTTTCATTTTCTGATAGCAGTGGGTTCACAGGATGCCAGAACCAACTTATTTTTTTTTATTTGTAGTAGTATACTTGAGAAAAATTGTGGCCACACCTGAAGCTTCAGACGTCACGGTCATTAATATCTGGTGTATCCTACCCATCTAAGTTCTGTAGTACAGGCTATAGGTTACCCTTACATTTAAGTTTTGCTAGTTTCTGTTCATAGCTTTGCTAATGATTTTTCCTGTCTTTTTAAGCGGAGAGAAGACAATATGGATGGAGGAGTTAATTTTGAGGGGTATAGGTAATCAGCCAGCTTCTTGGGGGTATCTGTTTGTTTTCCAACTACTCAGCATGCTAGTCTTTCAACTAGTTTCTATTGTGGTTACCTTTGTGCATCTGGCTAATTGGCTATGTTGACTATATATTTGATCTGATGCACAACATGTATTAAATTAGCTCTTGAGTTACCTCTTAGATGTGCGAACTCCAGCAGCGTGCCAACATGCTCTCTATTGACGTTAGTTTTAGTTCTATTTTCTGTCGAACTTGGATAGGTAGAAAATAGGAATGAAAAACTCTTCAGGTTTGTCCTCGAACCCCGCGCATAGCGGGAGCTTAGTGCACCTGACTGCTTTTTTTATATAATTCTCTAGAGGCTCAATTGTTAAAGTCCTCTACTTCTCCAGTCATTTGCGTAAATCAGCTGTGTATTTCGTGCCATGGAATGCCAGTTTCAGTTCTGCAAGTAACTACAAAAAGGAAAAAAGGAGGTTCGCTATTTCTTGGGGGTGTGGAAGGAAAAAAGAAAAGAGAAAGCCCTTTAAAGATCATCTGGAAACACATTCTAATCTTTATTATACGTCTGGTCAAAAATGAAATGTTAGTAAAATGTAGCGGCAGCTTCCTATTCGATGAGTATATTACATTCGACGATTATGTTGTCTTTCTGGCTTTCACACAAAGGTAATACGTGAAACAAGGCCTTGGTGGATGAGTTATCCAATATTTCTACGGTTCTACTGGTAGAAAATAAAAAGTATTATGTGAAATTAATGAAGGTGCACACAAGTTGATCTGGACATTATAATTATTATTAAAAAAATACCAAGAGACTTGTCATATCTAGAGAGAAAACTCAGCCCAAAGGGAATTAGTTGTAAAAGTGCCCTCCCAATGGTAGAGGATTCAACTTTCAACTATGCGCTTCAAACGATATACTGCACGATATTTAAGTAAGCCAACAACTCAAGAATCTCAGCTAGACAAGTCTTATTCTTTTATTTTTCCCTTAAACGCATATTTTCTCACTGAAACTGCCTGATGCAACAATCCATAACCAATTTGACCTTTTGGTATAATCTAACAAGTATAAAGTCACAGAAAATAAGCCCAATTACAATCCTAAATATTTCTGAATGTGATAAAACTGCTTTATTAATGGCAACCACAATCAAGCAAATAACGGACTTAGGAAGGATGTCGAGATGACAGCTTACCAAGAAAAAGGAGTTGGAACTATATCTTATCCATAGTCACAAGGAAACAGGGAAGACCAGAAACTGCAAAGTTCCATTGAGAGGGCGACAAATATTGAACAAAAGAGACTATTCAAAAGTTCAACATCCAAGCGTAAATACAGCGTTGGAGTCCAGCTAAATATAACAGAACTGAGGTAACTTTCCAGTAGAATTTAGTGTAAATTTCCAAAATGCTTTCCCCACAGTGACAAACAGTTTTTGCGACCTCCAATTACAAGAGTACAAGCCCAAGCTCTGACGCTCTCAAAACATGCTTTAGTCGATAGTTGTAGAGATAATAGTGGAGTTTCCCATCACCAGGGCAAAACTTCAGTTGCTTCAAAAAACTTTCGTTCTGCATAACATCTAGGGCGTTGAAAACATCAAAATCCTTCTGCTTTGCCACAATAAGGGCATCATTCATCAACTGAATCAACGGAGTCTTTGTAGAGACATTGTAATACGAGTAAGCAGCCTTTAGAGTGGAATGATTCTGGTTACCAAGAATTGACGAAGGAAGAGTGTAAAAACTGCAGAAGTCGGTGATTTCATGAGTCTCGGGGCTTTCGACCAGATAACTGTCAATCACACCCTCCTTTGGCAGAAGCCAGTGTTCCACATCATTTTCATCAAAGTCAGGTGCAACCACAAACTGCTTCAAGTAATTCCTAAGCAATCGAGTAACTGCAGGAACATCATGGGGCTCCATCTTTCTGAACCCGGGTGTGACAGTCTGATCAGGCAACTTGTACAGCTTTATTGTACGGCTCATTGTCATCCTTGCACCAAGCCTGGAAAACCCGACGTCAATTAGCTTCTTTGGATTCAAAGATCTATGCCAATATTGACAGGTTGATATAGGTGTTGGAAGTACCACCCCAGCTGTATAAGCAGCTTGCCAAATATTCTCCATATGAACCCTCCTTGTGACCTCCTTTATCATGACAGGAGCAAGTCTTTTTGATCTAAGCTTCTTATGAACACACAGAAAATTGATTTCTGCCATGGTCACAACAGTATCTCGAGCACGTATTCTTGCAGGTACCCCTGTAATAAAAGCAACCAACTTTTTTGAGGTTTTCACTCTGACTCCAATGTGCCAGCTCCTGTAGAAACCTGGAGGGCGAAGTGCCCATCGAAGAAATTCTTTCGAGTAATTGAACCTAAACATGTTCTCATCATCCTCAACGTAGTTGTTCGTTAGGAGAACATAGACCTCATTGCACATTTCCTCCGAGTCCATATCACAGGTGGTCCACTCATATGGACTTGGAAGGTTGTATGGCTCCTGCTTAACTTCTGATAAGGGAGTTGGAGGTTCAATAGGTCCTTCAGGCAAGCTTGCATCCCCAAGATCCTTAAACTGACCCACAGGTTGAGTCTCCCAAAACTTATGTCTCTTTGCGAGGGAGAGAGATTCTTGGACCTGTCGAGCCAAGGAATCAATGGATACCTCATTGCCATTCGCTGGAGCTAAAGTATTATCAGAACTGGAGTTATGGTCCTCAGTTGCCTTAATGTCGTCAGCCATTTCACCAGCTTCAGTATATTATTCTCTGCCATAACATGATAAATTAAATATCCAGAGCAAAGGACTACATAAATAAGCAACAAACATACAGTATAGTGGTAGAGAGATCTGGAACATATACTAAGCATCAGGGGGATAAAATGGGTTACGGCAGGTACTATGACGGAAGTAGCTAAAAGCTTTTATTTAGTGAAGACAAAGAAGGAATTCAAGATAGTTTGGACCAACGTACCCTGCTGTTATAATCTGGTCTATTATGGAAAGAAAGGAATTGGATGTTTGTTCGAAGGCAGTATCACCTCATTGAGAGCCAAACGTTTAAATCATTTAGGTTTTTGGTGTAAAGTAGATTTAATAATAACAGAGGCTCTTCTTGAATTTTATCAGCTCCCTTAGTTTTTGAATATATGAATAGAATTGTAACACAGAGATTGTTTTTTCTGTACATAGTGCAACTACTTCACACCAAATGAGCAAAATTTATTTGCCTTAATACAAAATTTACTTGATTCTAAATAAGCAAAATTTAGTACAGCTCAAGTAGGTAGCACACTAGCACCCCTCAAGCATCTTATATTTGATGTAAAATGTTTAAAGCACATTATCATTTATAAAGAAAGAACTCCAATTAGATATACATATTATCTATCGTAATGTTCGCATATACATGGTATCCATCAGAATATCAAACTGATATGTGTGTGTTATAACAACACATGCAATATATTAGACCAAAATTGTTGTCTCCAAGGAATCATAGAGTAGAATAAGCTGCAATATGATTATTGACAAGCATGGTCAGCTGGTTTACCAGCTGAATTACTACGTTATTGATAGAAACCAAATCAAGCAACAATTTTTCACTATTGGATCACTTCATATCCACGATAACTACCACTTGATTCAAAATTGAGCATACTGTGATAATATATAAGAATACCATATCAAAGCGCACGTAGATTTTCCATAATATCTAAATCAAAATCAATTAAATTTTCCTAAAATAAGAAAAAATATAAAGCATGATCGAATTAGGAAATCAAACCTTCGAGGATTGTGAATTCTGGTCGATGACGGAGATCTAGGGTTTCAGAGTCTTTATTGAGGTACCTGCAGGCGTACCGGAGAACGCAAAGAATATTAAAAGGTCGAAATTGGAAGCAACGAAGCTATGGACGGAATATGAAATGGTTGAGATTGGAGATGGGCCTTGTTTATGGGCTTTATTCATCATTCTATTTGGTCTGGATTAATACATTTCATTTTGGGCCGTTTTTGTTCGGAAAATTTAAAAAGTTAAAAACTAGCCATTTTATAACCTTATAATTGAAAATAGTCACAGAATTCAAAACTCATTGAAAAATAGCCGTATTTTTTAATGAGTGACGGTGTTATTGGTTTCGAACTCCATGATATTGTCCTGGAGCCCGAACACTATCATGGAGTTCACACTTTTTTAAGTTCGAAATCCATGACACTATCAAGGATTTCAAAAAATGGGACAATATCTTGAATTTTTTACTGGTTAAGTTCAAATTTCATATTAAAAGTGACGACTTTCAAAGGATTTTCAAACACTAACTATTTTTCAAATACAATCATTCTCTTCTCTCTTTTTATTTTATTTTATGAGAGAATGGTACAGGCTACACCTTTAATGTCAAGGCTCGTGGTATATTGATATGCCACAAGTATCTTTGGTGATAATTAGCCAGAGAAATATCTCCAACTTGTACTAGGCCGAATGTTGTCTGGCACTTTGATATTTGCAAGCTCAACGGGACAACGACCTTTCTATTTTAATCTTATTTAAGTTGTTGAAATTAAAACTAGATGAGGAAGTATCAGCTATCCTCAGATTCACTTGTTATATAAGCTTAATGACCTTTCTATTTTAATCTTCTAATGCCTTTGCTATTAACCAATTTTGATATCTTAACTATTTGAGTTATAGTCCTCATATCACTTGTTCCAAACACAAAATTTCTTACATTTTGTCCTGAAATTATATACATACAATGATAGAAACCAAAAGAGAGATGTACTTGCTTAATATTGCAAATAGGAGACCTTTGCTATGTACCCCTTTCCTTTTGTATTTTTGGATTGGATCTTCTTGGGACAAAGGAGAACACCTATGTACTCCATCACTACCTCTTCTCCCTTGNTCACGTACTTATAAAATTTTTTGAAAGATAAAATATTACAAAATTTAATGTGATGTACAGTCATAACTCTCTATATAATATCCATATATAACAATTATTCACTATAAAAATTAATTTTTCTTCGGAACCAATTTTTTAAGTTATATTTTATTTCTGTATAATAGTTTTTCCATTGAATAAAGTTTCCCTTTTGCATATAACATAAGATTTGAAGATATGCACATGATATTGACGAGCGCAAAATCGGTGTATAAAACT